GCCCGCCCGTCCGCGCCGTCCGCGGGTGCGCGGGCCGGGCGCCTCTCCGCGCCCCGACACCTGGGGCTTCCACCTTTCCAGCCTCCCTTGGCCGAATTGCGGGGCAGCCCGGCGTCAGGGGGCGCCCAGGAGCCGGGGGGAAAACCGTAAGGCGCTGGCGGGAGCCTCCAGGCGGTGTATCCCCAACCTCCCACCTCCCCGCGCCCCGCCCCGAGGTCGGGGCTTTGGAAGATGCAGCCGGGTGAGCTATTGCTTGCGGGGGGGTTCCTCGCACGCTGAACCGTGAACACCGGGAAGGGCCTTCCCTGGGAATGGGGGTCCTCCAGGCTGGGAGGCCCACCCGTCTCCAAGCCCCTGTAAACTGGGAGCGCTCCCCAATAGGACGCTCGGCTCTGCAGACGTGAACTGGTCCACCCGCAAACTTGGTGCTGTTTCGCAGGCGAGACATGGGCACTTTCGACCTCTTGTATCGCTGCGTTTACCGTGAAACCTTGACTCGTTCAGATTTAGGGAACTGGCAGATGAAGGAATTTGGGGGTTGGCTTGTAAATATTTTGAGAAGAAATTTTTTAGGGAGTACGAGGAAAGAATGCTTTGTCACACTTCGAATGCACACACTCCCTCTTGTCTCCCTCGCATTTCTTCATAACCAGCAAAAAGTATAGTAGAGTTGATGGCCGGGAGGCGTTACAGTGGTCGCTGGTGCAACGCCAGAGCGGAAGGTATGGCGGGAGCGCTGCAGTGCGCCTTTCTGCGGACGGCCAGGGCCGCCTGGCCGGGAAGCCGCGCGCCTGCTGCAGTCTGCCGCATCTTGCGGCCTTGGCCGGCCGGCCGGTACCCTACAGCGTTAGGCTGCTCCCGGGGCAATGCTGGCTTTCCCTGTGTGGGGCTGTTTTGTTTGTTTTGTTTTATTTACTCGCATAAGGAAACTGCGATTATGGTGACAAGGTAACACATTACTGCGTTTTGGAGTTTCTGATAACTACTAAGGTGGACTCTTACTTTGGAGTATTTAAGAAACTGAAGCATTTGTGTCATAAAGTAATTTGTCATATTTTGAGAAGCAGAGAATCGATGACAATACTTAAGTTTTGTTATTTGCTTGCAGGATCTCAAGATGAGTGTTGCTTTCTAACTGTACAAAATCAACTGTGCAGCTCGGCATCAAAGCTTAACCATTGATGTTCTTCAGGCCTTTAACATATTACTGTGTGTCAGTGTTAAAGGAGACTCAGAAAGGCATTGCCTAATGCACCTTAAACGCCAGATTCAGAAACAATGGATGAAGTTTTCTTCTGTACAACTTGTTTCCTGAAACAAAAGAAACATTCAAGTCGTTGACATGTTGCATCTTAGTTGGTTGTTTTGGGTTGAAGATGCAGGGACCTTGCTTGCAGACGCCACTTATAAAGTGGGAATGTTGAATGTCAGAAGGTAGGCTGCGCTACAAGTCAGGATAGGCTTCATAGGTCCCTGGCACTGAGGGCAGACAGGTAGCACTGCATCTTGTGCACAGTGCTCAGAGGTTTCCTGGTACCGCAGCCCACTGCAGTGAGAGACTGTATTCCTGTCGCTTGTGCAGGGGTTATTAAAGAGAATCCTTAGAGCCTGCAGTGTGTGGCACATCAGGAAAGGAAGAATTCTTTACCGCATCGACTCACAGTGGCCCGGTGGAATAATTTAAAACAACAAAACTGAATTAACCTTTTGCAGACATTGGGAGAAATGACTAATATAATTTAGGAAGATCATCTTTACTTTCTAATTCTCAATGACTAAAATTTATGAGGGAGCTGAAATGGCCTAAATATCCTTGAAACATGTCTAAGACCACAAACACAGCATAGTAACCAATTTGCCCCAAACTCTGCATTTTTAACAACAAAAAGCAACTAAATAGCAATTATGGTTTTCTGAGCTATTACTTTAGCACAATTGTTATCACCCAAAGTCTTGCTGCAGCCATTTATAAGTTTCAAGTGCACACAAGAACATTGTTTATCTCTCTTGGCAGGCAAATGCTTAACTGCCATGCAGTAGAATTATAGATATTTCTTTTTAGATGCATTCATGCCTGTTCTTTGCATCAGTTATCTCAAGGATACTAATAATAAGCAAAACAAATCATTGAAAGAATTTCATATTTAGGTTCCATTGTTATTTTCTGATTTTTGTTGCTAATTTATCATTTCCTTCTCCAAATAATGGCATGTTATTAATTGCTTCTTTCTGTGTGTTTCTATGATGCCTACTGCATTGCAGAATTCAATAAATATTAAATCAGCCAATCAATTCTTTTTGGAAGTTAATTTAGTAGAATTCATACCTTTTCTTTCTGCTAGGTTTTCATTAAAAATGAATAATTGACATTGTATCAAAGTCACAAAAAAATTTAAAGTTTGGGTTTAGAAATGGAGGAGGAAGGCCCATGGCCAAATCTTTCATACTAAGAAATGAAAAATCAAAATGGAAAAGTATATATAATTTTGACTTTTTATGATGGCGAGTTAGCACTGTCACCCAAGAGAAGACAAATGAGTTGGGAAAAATAGTTGAGAGTTTTGTATCAGGTGTCTAGAAGATCCATCATGCAGCCCTTCTTCCCTTTAGATTCTTAACCAAATTGAGAACACACACAAGGAACCAAAGGAAATTAAAATATTAACTTTATTCAGGGTAAAGTCAGATTGAAGAACATGGCTTAGACCCAAGGCCAAAATGGGGCATCTTATTCCTTTTTCTTTGACTCAGCGTGCCCACTCAGTCACAGATAAAGAACCGTAGGCCTTCCCAGCACTAGGTCAGGAAGGAACCGTACTTGTACTGCTTCTTACCTGGAGACCAGAGGATAAAAGAGCCTGACACTCTCCAATCCACAGGGCATGCAGCATGAGTGAGCAAGAGGCAGGACCGCGTGTGAGAAGGGACCTTTTATACATCAGCCCTGCCCATTAGAAGCTGGCAGTCCCCCCCCAGTTTCCCTCATCACTAAGTCGTTCCACCTCCCAATGATAAGAGTGAGTAAGGGGCTTTAATGAAATGTCAGAAACATCTTCTGCAGTACCTCCCTAGAGGTAGGTAGGAAGTTGTGACACAAATTCCTAATTTATGGATCAGGCTGAAATGTCAGGAAGAAGAGACGGCTCTACCCTAAGCTGTGTAGCAACCAACTGAGGGAGAGGGAGGAATGGAAGATGACTCAAGTTTTGAGCTAGGGGAGAGGAACAGTTTTGAAGGAGAAGATGACAAACTGAGTGTTACTCGCATTGAGGTGGAGGTGTCAGAAAGACATCCATGTGAAATTATCCAGAAAACTCGTGAAATGTGGGTGGAGAGGTCAGAGCCAGAGGTGGACTGGAAGTCATCGTCATAAATTATAGTTGAAGTCATGGAAACGGATGAAATGACTAAAGAAGAGAAACTAGAGAGAGAACTGGAATCAGAACTCTGGAGATGGCTTCCATCTGTGGTTTAGAGAAGGAGAGCAGAAGGCAAGACTGTGGAAGCCAAGTGGGAGGTGTTCCAGCTGAGTGGCTTGCTAGAACAGATGCACAAATGGGAGGTTAAAGAGGACAAAGATGGAGGACTGGTGACTAGGAGACCTCTGAAAACCTTCCAGAGGACTGATTCATTGTAGTGGGACGTTAATGGGTCGAAGAGGGAGTGGGAGGTAAAGAAGAGGAGAGAGCCCTTGTCTACAATCTTCGGAGAAATTTAACTCTAAAAGGGATGAGTAGAAATGCAGTTAAAGCCCAAGTAAAGGCCAATAAAGGTCCTTTTGTCAGGATGGGGTACTTGAACAAGTTTGTAGGGAACTTTGGAGATGAAGCCAGCAGTGGGAGAGAAATTAAGAGTCGAAGAGGAGAGAAGACAGCATTCTTCTGGGCATTTGTGGTTTGGCTATTTGTTTTAACATTCCTTGAGTCCTCCAGACTGGTTCTTTCTGCTCTCAGGCTGCTTTTGATTCTGCAGAGTTAAAACTGACCCTGACTAATCCTGATGGCTCCCTGCCCGTGGTCTCCTCCCCACCAGCCTTGGCTACTCAGGCTCAGACTCAAAGAATGATTTTTTAGGGAAAGATAAGGAATGCCTTGGAAATTAGCCCAGGTTGTCTGTAAGTTTTTATTACAACCCTATATGGAAGTGAGTAAGTTACCCAACTGGTAATCACACAAGGACATTACATTGAAATATTACATTGAAGTATTTTACCTAAACTTTTTGTTTAGATAAAAATGGCTCTAGCAATAAATTATTAGAAATAAATTATACTGATTTAGGGACTGGTACTTGTTCCTAGGTGAAGTTTTTTACTTTCAGAATTAAATGGCATGAGAGGAATCTGAGGAAATGTGCTGTGTGGGCTGTTTATTCCCAAATGGTTTTCATGACAATCTGAGACCAGGACCTGTGTCAACAATATGCATGTTCTTGTAATGGAAGGGAAAGGAGCTACATCATCTGGAAGAACTTACATCATCTAATGTAGTCTAGGAAGCGATTTCCAGCCACCAGAATTAGGGGAACCATCATGTGGATGGATCACTATTGTCTTTTTAAATTTTGAATTTTTGAAGGAAAAAAAATTGTTATTTGTAGTAATATCAAATATTTTCAGCAAATATTCCCTGGGAAAGACTTTATATTCATTTTACCATAGTAAAAACTTTAAAGATAACTTTAAAGGCATCCTTGTAAGAGGAAATGTTTCACATGGAATCATTCCAAATTGTTCTTTTAACATTTTAGAATTTTAGAGCCTAATTAGGATTTGTTGTCCTATGGGTTGTAGAATCCATGATAATGTTGTGGGGGAAAAAAATGTTCTATTTTGTGAACATACGTATTTCTCTAAAAAGTCTGCTGAGTTTGGGAGTTTAAAAACGTCAATATAATTGAATTCATTTATTCTATAATGCTTTGCAGACAGTTTTTGGAAAGTAATCATTTACTATCCACAAGCAAATAGAATTCATTTATATAGGTTCCACAGTGAGTGTGGGCTTAGTCATGCAGCAAGATACTGAGTCATTGGGCCAGAAAATTTACTCATAGTTGTATGAACTGCCGATGGAAAATTTGAGAGCTGTTCATAAATCAAATTATAAAGATCTCAGAGTTATAAATCACTGAGCAGCATTGTTCATTATTATTCAGATGGTGTAAAATATTTCCACCATTTCTAAGAATGGGCAATTTACAAAGCAAGTTTGAAAGCTGAAGTTATTGCTTCTAGATCCA